TAAAGTTTAAATCTAGTTAATTATATTGTAACTGTGACATAAACCTCTAAGGATAGAAGTATTTGTGATGGCAAATGGACAGTACAATCATTTAGGTAGCATTTAGGAATATTGCTACAGTTACTTGACATAGATAGAAATCCATGTATTTATTAGTAAGGTACCTCACATCTTAAGAGTAAAAATTCACATGGGACAGGCTTATAAATATACATAAATCTCAAAATCAATCACAATCGAACATGAGGTACATAATTATTACAAAACAAATACAGCCCATCAATGTCTATTGAAAGGCATCATGTTTACAAAATAGTATTTTATAGACAATCTCAAAAAAGTATATTGATACTCCTGGAGCCAGACTGTTCCAGCATGTTGGCGCAGCTGTGGGAATAAGGCATGTGGAGAAGCTGCATTCACTCTTCCAGGTGGCCAGGCCTTGCTATGTGAAGACATGGTAACTGCTCTAGTGACCCAGGTTAAGGCCACAACCCCTTCAGCACCCCGAGACCCGAGAGAATTGCTCACTCTCCAGAAGAATGGAACTGAACAGCTACTTGCCCAATAGCAAATATCTGGAGAGCAGGGGGGAGTGGGTTGAAAATATTAATAAAAAAAATCAGTATACTTTAAGTGAAAGATTCCAGAGATGAATGATTCCCTTAAATGTGCAGCCCTATTTGAAATCACATCAGCATAGCCACTGTTTTTATGAAAAGGAACTTATACTCAAGTTATTTATTATACATAGAAACAAAGAAGTCCAACTTGAAACTAAGTAATTGGGTAACTAGAGAAAGAACTGAATTATATACAAAACGGGTATGGGATGCATCAACATGCCATGTACTCAGTTAACATCTCAGTTTCTTAACTAATAGTGTAGAAACATCAGACTCAACAATGACACTTTATACGTTCTTAACAATTCGTACAATGTTGATTGGAGGAAGCAAAGGCTTAATAAAGGATCCAGGAATCCTCTCTACAAACTAAATTTCTATAAACTCCAGGGTCATTTTGCCTATAATACATACAATGTTTTTTTGCCTCGGGTTTTAAAGCATCCAAGAGATCAGAAACAGAAACCACCTTGGCAAAGACCTTCAGATGGTCATGGTATGTACATAGAGGCATTTATGTACAAACACACACAGACCTCATCTTATATGTACAAATCTATATACAAACACCGAGAATAACCTGTTCACTGATCATAACCAATTCTGTTTAGAGAACAAAAAGGCATACATTTATATACAACCAAATATACACATCTCAGCCTTGAGCCTATTGCGGTGGTTCTCAAAGATTTCTCCATCATGACACATAAGGTAGATGACATTGTCACATGTGTAAAACTATCGGCAGCTGCAGCAGATTTTGATAAAACTTTAAAAAAAAATGTCTGCAGGGAAATAAATTACTGTGAAATATGGTAATCCCCACCATGAAGAGCAATTCATCAGTGAAAGTCATTCACGCTGCCACAGTTTAGGTAAAATAAAACAGCTGCTTACCCAGCGCCGACTTGACTGCCACCACTTTCGCATCAACTCTGGGAAGTCTATCAGATGTATGTGTTGGGGAATGCTATTATCAGGATAACAATTCATCACCTATATTTTATAAGCAAATTGCTGACTTCAATATTTTTGCAATTAACCAGTAATGCATTACCAGCGGTGTACTTGACAATTGATCCTGATACTTAGACCTGTCTCCTGAGCAAGGGAAACCTACAGACCAAGGGAAACCTATTTTTGTATGGTCTGCAAGCTAAGAATGGTGTTTACATTTTAGATGTTTTTGTTGTTGTTAATCTGCATCCAAGGACATTTTTCCATTGATTTTTAGAGAGAGTGGAAAGGAGCTGGGAGATGGAGAGAGAGAAACATTGATGTGAGAGAGACATCACACATCAATGTTGATTGGTTGCCTCCCACATGCACCTCGACCAGGACTTGGATTGAAGCCTGCAACCAAGATACGTGCCTTTGACTGGAATCAAATCCGTGACCCTTCATGCATAGCCAATACTATATTCACTGAGCCAAACCAGCTAGGACTAGATTCTTTTGTAATCTAAAGAAAAATATTTGTGACACGTAAAATTTAGGTGAAATTCCAATTTCAGTGTCAAAAAAAATTTATGGAAATACAACCATCTGTGCTCATTGGTTGATGCATGATCTATGACAGAGTTGAAACAGAGAGTGCAAAGCCTAAAATTGTTTTGCCATCTGGCCCTTAATAGAAAAAGCTTGCTGAGCCCTAGGCTAGAGCTAGGGCTAGTGGTCATCTCTCTCAAACACAGATCCTTTATGTAGACAGTAAACTTAATTACAGAAATAGTAGTAAAAACCCCTCAGGATGGAAATCCACTCGAATTGTCCAAACTTCCTGATTTCCTTAACGCCAAAAGCCAACTTAAGACAGTTATGGCTCCTGCGTTTTGTCTGAAATCACGTTTACCAATTCACCTTTGAGATGACTGGGGAGCAATGAAAGGGCATTGGACTCAAAGATAGAAGACCCGGGTTTTAGGCAAGCCATTAAAAAAAAAAAAATTAACCAAGACAAATACATTTTAGTCTTGTCCAATCTGTGTGTTAATTTTTAAAAAACTCTAAAAATGACTGATAAAGTAATCAAAATATTTTAAGAAGAAAAAAAAAGCTGGTAGAAAACAAACAATGGGTCTTTTCATTGTAAATTACTAAAAGGCAGGGGAGTGGGAGAGAGAGAACAAAGTACCCAGCTAATTTGAGTGTGGATAGTGGGCTCCACTTAATAAGTTTCAATGTATGTGCATGAGGCACGAATGGGAAATAGTACCACCTCCCTAGGCCTCAGCTGCCCCTTTGTAAAATAAGTGCATTGGATTAAGTGGTCTCTAAAGTCTTTGCCAGCAGAGGTAATTTGTGCCAAATGACTAGCCTCAGTTTTTTCATTTGTATAATTGGATTGATAGAACCTATGTCCTATGGTTGTTGTGAGGATTAAATGTGTTAATCCACACAGAGTGCTTAGAACAGCACTAAATACAAATAGCTAGATTATTCTACAAAAACACAGGTGGGTATCTCCTCTGTACCAAGTACTATGTTAGAAAGTTGAATGCAGAGGTAAAATAGAAATTGATTCTCTTACATTAGGTGAGAATGAATGAACTTGGACTCTACAGGGTTTAACTCCCATGTGTCTATAAGTGGATGACTCTCTGAGATGATGTTAAATGCTGTTCTCCAACCCAGTTCTGTGAATTCTCATTTCTAAACAATGATCATTGGTAAGACTATCAGATATGTTTGCAGGGCAAAACAACATTCTCACTAACCATCTTTTTATTTATGTTTAAAAAAAAAATCTCATCTTAAAAAACTTTCTATGCCTAATCCCACAATCTGCAAAATGTTGGATTATGAGTTCAGTGTTTGCTAAAGAGATGATTTATGGTTTGATCATAGGTGGAAGAATATAAAAATGTTAGCCAGTTTGACAATATATATGAAATACAAGTCTTCTGTTCCAAAGAAACTTGCCACAGAAGTTTATTCCTTCAACACGTTTGCTGAGTGTCTACCACGTAGTAGTGTGTGTTCCAGTGATGAGTAACAAGAAATGGCTACTCCTGCAGAAGGAGGAGGAGCCAGCAATTACAGTAAAGTGTGATGAGGAAGCCCAGTGTGCCAGAGGAGCACTTGGCAGGGACCTAAATCTCCCTAGTCCAGGGGGTTGGAAGAAGAAATATTTAAGCTGTGGCCTGAAAGATGAGCAGGAGTTCGGCAAGCACAGGAAGTGGATGGAGAATGTTCGGGCACAGGGAACATAAGAGGTAAGCAAGCAGGTCTGAAGGACCGAGAGCTGGGTCATAGCAAGTGAGGAGTGGTGAGAAAAGAAGATACCGGGAGGTGATCAAAGTGGCTTGCATTTCACACTTACAGCAGTGAGCAATCATGGGAGGTTCCAAGCACAAATGTGCAAAACTGGTAATCAATGGGTGAAAACTGGTAGGACCAATGTGTGAAATAAGTAGCTTGACTTGAAATGTAAGCAGAAGGGAAATCCATTAATTTATTGCTTCCCTGCCAGCTACAGAGACTAGTGAACTAAGTCTCTCTTTAGATTTAAGCTATTTGTAGCTGAGATGTAAGACACATAGGAGAATGAAACTGAAAAATATTGGCTCTCTTATTTACAACGTGGGTGCCTGCACACTCAGGATCTTCACTGCTCAACAACTAGTATAGCTGCAAAGGTGAAATTACAACCCAGCCTCGGCCATGACCAGAGGGCTTAGTTAGGCAGTGGTAGTCAGGTGGAACCAGGGACTTAAACCACATAAATCCTACCTTGCTTGATGTCCTTTAACCTCTCCCCACCTACAAGGAGGATTAGTTCTCCTACGTTCCTCAGATGAGCTTGGTGAACTGGGCAACGTCACAGGAATCTCAATGTTTTTCTTCTTTCTGTTCAGTTCAGAAGAATCTGAAAGCTCTCTCCAAAGGTGGATTCTCGCCTCTGACATGAATTTCAAGGATGGCATTAGAAACCAGTCTCCAGTGTTGTTTAATAAAAAAAACCCACAAAGTTGGAGCAAGCTTTAAAGCAACAAGGCAAACCAGAGGACTCCAGAGCTCTACAATGGAAATGCCTCAGCCGCAGAACCACATCCTTGGATTCTTTTCTTCTAAATGTGCTGCTAACACAGACATTTGGACCAAAGGGAACCTTTATGTTTCTTTGAAAAAAGGAACTCCGATAAGTCAAAACATTATTATAAATTATACTGACTGCCAATCCAATTCACAAGTCTGAATGAATAATCTAGGTGAATTCACTTTACGGGTCATTTCTCACCTATAATAATAAAAGCATAATATGCTAATTAGACCAGACATCCTTCTGGAAGACCTTCCGGATGAAGCCGGGGCTGCAAGAGCCAAGCCCCTTGCACGAATTTCATGCACCAAGCCTCTAGTTTTCTAATTTTAAAAAAATCTCATCTTAAAAATGTTTCTATGCTTAATTCCACAATCTGCAAAATGTTGGGTTGTCCAAATGCTTTAAATTTTTATTAAGATGATCTGATCTATTACTGTTTATGAAATCATTCTCACTGTATGTTACTCTGGCAACAGAATAGGCTGTAACCACAGATTAATACCTTAATTTATAAAACAGTGGTTGAATTCTAACTGCTAACAATGCCCATATTTTCTATCATTAACATAATTTTCATCTTCAGGATCAGCCAACTGTTTCTAAGCTTTCCAACAGCAATAAAAAAAAAAATGGTTTCTCATAGCTACTCACTAATTGAGAGGAAATCTCAAAGAAATATGAACCATTTTCATATTATTGTAATTTCCCCCATTCTTCCCATCAGCTGTGTAATTATCCAAAAGCACTTAAGCTTTATGAAAATTTGAAAGTTCTTCTGCCTTAAAGGCTGACTGTGAACTATGTCCATGCAGTAAAGTTCTCTTTAGCAATTTTCCAAGTAAGTCTCCTGAGCTGTGGTTGGAAGAGGAGAGGCGCTTTAGGGACAGGATCCCATGCTTAGCTCTTTATCTACCTTGCTACCTGTTATCTGACCAAGTCACAAAAAGGCAGCTGTCTGGGTCTCAGACCCCATTCAGTAAGAAGGCAATAATAATATTCATCAAACCAACTCAGAGATATTGTGAAGCTCAAATATGAAAACTTAGAAAAATTTTAAGTATTTTCCAAAAGTATGGGGTCATTATTAAACAATCCTCTTTGATTAGAAAAGAAGTTTGTTTTTTTCTTCCAAAAAGCTGAAATCATGAGTCCTTTTATTTTTAAAACAATAGAAGCTAAAATTATACTACATACTCTTTAAAAATATATATTTATACTGAAGACTTTCTAATCCATGGGATGTGCTGGCGTTGCAGCTGTGATTAAGGGGTTCCCATCAGTAAGTAGAAAGTCAGGGCAACAATGAGAAGCAAACAGAATGGAGAGGAGAAGGTCTGGTAGGCAGCTGATGGCATAAAAATGTCTTCATACTTGTAAATACTGACAACACGCTCAGAAGTAGGTGGTGAGTCTATATCGTGTCGGGTGATAGAGCCTTTAAAAAAAGAAATGAAAAGGAAGGGGCAATTAAAGAAAATTACATATTGAAAATGATATATTCTAACAATAGAAAAACAAAACAAAAACCTTTCCTGTTAAATAAGTAAGCAGTGACTATAAAGATCTGGAATCAGGTTATCAGAACTCTCGGAATTCCCCACAATTGCACATAGAATGAAGAACAGAGACGCTAGTTAAATTTATCCAAAAAGACAAGTTCCCCTGAATCTGCATACCCCCACAGCACCCCAGTTTTAAGCCTGCTACTTAGTACTGTAGGAATGCTTACTTTTAAGGTCTCTAATGAGTTTTATCTTACTGATACCAAAGGAAAACCATACTTTGATTTCAAAGAGCAAGAGCTACTAATTGCTTTCCTCAAATATATATTTTATAAATGGATTATTAACAACCCCTGAATACACTGGATTCCCTTACAGGTGGAAGCCTCTCTCACCTTGTCTATGGGACATAAAGTGGTAGCTTGCTCAAGTTGGATGGAACACTACAGGAAGTAGGAGGATTAAAATGCCAAATAAATGTTTTTTGTTAATCCTCATTTGAGGATACTTTTCCCGTTGATTTTTAGAGAGAGTGGAAGGAAGGGGAAAAGAGAAAGAGAGAAAGAAAGAGGAGGGAAGAGGGAGAGGGAGAGGGGAAGAAGGAGAGGGAGAAGGAAAAGGGAGAGAGGAGGGAGGGAGAAAGGAGGAGGTAGGAGGGAGGAGGGAAGAGGGAGAGGCAGACACATCAACGAGAGAAAGACACATTATTTGGCCGTCTCCTACAGGTGCCCTGACTGGGGCCAGGGAATTGAACCCGTAACCCAGGTGCACGCCCTTGACTGGAAATCAAACCTACGACCCTTTGGTGAGTAGGCCAGCACTCTAACCATAGAACAATACTGGACAGGGCCCAAATAAATATTTAAACAGAAAGGTTGCTTTTGACCTCTTTAGACGTGGAAAGAGGGAAAGGCTGTGTTTAAAGGCTACTTCATAGCTGATTAGAAGTGCCTGACCTCCTAAACCATATGAAATCCATATGGATGTAAGCCCTTTGAATAATCCATATGAAATTTGGGGTAGGAAGGCTAAGGCAGATACTTCAGAGCAAATGTCTCCTTGGAAACAGGCCTCAGGTAAAAGTCCTATCTGCCAGGGAAGCTGCACCAAACTTGACATGTCACTTCCCTGCCCCAGTGTCCATGTCGGCTCCTGTTGGCACTAATCAAACTGCTCAGGTTGGCGCGAGATTTCTCTCCCAGTAAATCCCTCCCCTCCCCTACCTGATGTCGCTTGGGCGTCCCCTGCAGACTCCTAGGCTTAACCAAGCAGTTCTAGTTTATGCCTTCCTTAGAGAACTCTAATCCACACCCCTCTTCAAACCTTAACTCAAGGTTTATCACCTCTGAGAGACCTCAAGAGCATGAAAAGTTTTCATCAATAGAGAGGTGTTAGGCCCTAGCCTGTTTGGCTCAATGGATAGAGCGTCGGCCTATGGACTAAAGGATCCCAGGTTCGATTCTAGCCAAGGGCACATGCCCAGGTTGCAGGCTCGATCCCCAGGAGAGGGCGTGCAGGAGACAGCCGATCAATGATTCTCTCTCTTTCATCATTGATGTTTCTATCTGTCTCTCCTTCTCTCTTCCTTTCTGAAATCAATAAATTAAAACATTTTTTTTTAAATAGAGAGGTGAGAGAAGGGCGTCCAAGAGACTGGAAAAGCACAAGCCTGGCAGTGGGTGGGAAGGTGCCTGTTTTGTTTGGAGACGGTGAGAACAGAAGTCCGGAGTGATCTCACCTCGCAAGGCAGAATGTGTAAGGAGATGAACTGTTGCAGGACAGCACTTTCCAGTTTGTAAAGCGATTTCAAGTACTTGTTTTCATCTAATCCTTACTATAGTTCTATAAAGTTGAAATTATTATTATCCCCATTTTAGATATACATAAATTGGAGTTCAGAATTTAGATGAAGGCTAGATACAGCTACCAAGGGGCAAAAGCAATGCACAAACCCAACGTTTCAGAGACCAAATGCCATCATTTGAAATGAGTTCCTTTCTCCAGGATAAGATAGGATTAATTTCCCAGGGTACTGAAAGTACTCGAAGACACAATTGCAGATCTACTGGTGTTAATCTGGGGCATATGCAAATGGGAAAGCTGTCTCAAAATCTATCTGAAGGCATCCCAATGTTTTTTCAATTAGAAACAGAAAAAAAAGTTTATGAACGCTCCAGACCAATCAATGGAAACAATTTGAAGCGGTGTGTGTGTGTGTGTGTGTGTGCAGATCAAACTGGGCAACATATAGTTGACAGGCACACAGTAAAGGAAGATGCAACTCCCAGGAGCCAGAAAAGTTCTCACACAAAGACTGCATAAACTGATGAACAAAAACAGATACAGAGACAGAACCATCGATCAGACATCAGACTGTCTAACCTCAGAGGGGAGGTAGGGTAGGGTGGGAGTAAGGGAGAGAGATCAACCAAAGGACTTGTATGCATGCATATAAGCCTAACCAATGGACACAGACACCAGGGGAGTGGAGGCATGAGTGTGTGTGTGTGTGGGGGGGGCAATAAGAACACATATATAATACCTTAATCAATAAAGAAGACAAAAACACCCCAAAACTGCAGACAAGATGTGCCCAGGCTTCTCAGGCCATTAGGCTGATCAGGTGGGAAATGCTGAAGACACAGCATAACTCGGTTTTAGCAGCTGCTAAAAGGTCTCAGGACATCCTTAGGTCTTTGTTGGGGAGATGCTGGAAGAACCTTGCCCCCCAAAGGGAGGTCAGCAACAAACCATATCCATGGGGGCTTGTTAGAAATGCAGGATCTCAGTCTTTCCACAGGCCACTGAATTGCATTTTAACGATAAAGGCAGGCATATCTCTGCACGTTAAAAATGTGAGGGGTAACGGGTTAAATTATAAGGTAATTTGGTGGATTTGTGACCATCAGGAGAGTCATAGAGTGAACACACTGAAATGCCTGACAATCTCCAGAGACCCTTTCCTGCTCAGTATTTGTTTGTTTGCATTTAGAGCATAAGGGCTAAGAGTTCTCACTGACTTTGGAGCCAGGCAGACCTAGAATTGAATATTAGTTTTCCATTAGTTAGTGGTAGTGCCCTGAGCAAGTTCCTTAGTCTCTAGAATCTTACCTAATAAAAGAGAAACATGCATATCAGCCATCACTCCACTATGCCCACAGCCAATCAGAGTGAGTATGCAAATTAACCCAACAAAGATGGAGGTTAATTTGCATGCACAAGCACAGAGCTGTGTGAAGCCTGCTCTGAGGGGAAGGGGGGCAGAAGAGGGAGCTACTGGAGATGGTGCTCCAGACAGAAGTGAGGTCTTGCCAGCTCTGGGTGACCTGGGAGAGGGGACTTGCTGGCTCTCTGGTGAGCTGGTAGCAGGGACTTGCTGGCTCCCAGGTGAGTGGGAGTGAAGCCAGGGGAAGGAAGGCCTATTCTTGCATGGATATCGTGCAACGGGCCTCTAGTCATAATACCTTTACATTTCAAGGATGTGGTGAGAAATAAATGGGAGCAGGTGAAAATTAAGCACAGTCACACCCCACAGATAGTAGTCAGGTGATCTGTTTCATTCAGCACTTAACTCATCATATGTTATCTTGTATTATTCAAGCTACGCGTGTTGTATACCTTATCCATTTGCATGTCTGTGTGAATGATAAATTCATTATAACCTGAAGGCAGGATCAAATCTCCTTTTTTAAACAATATTATCCTAAGTGCTTATCACTCTCTTGCCCAATAAATAACGAATGCCAGCACAGCAGTGTGCAATGTTTAATCCAGATGCCAAAATGCAAGCTTACCCTGAATGGCTGGACCCCAAGCAAACAGATAATACCAGCTCAGATGCAGGTCGACAATGGTTTCGTCTCTAGGAACGTTCACGGGGCGTTTAAATCTGCAGGTGACTCGATTGTTCTCGTAAACTCCTTCTTCATCTCTGGCAGGATTCCTCTGGATCTCCTTTGCCCACTGGCCTACGTTGTAGAAGTGCTGTATGCGGACCCTGCCATTGTCATCATGGACGCAGGCCATGACGTCATCACCACCCTGCCATGGAAAATAATGAAGAAAAAAGTCAGTATTTTGCAAATTTCTCTGCTAAAAAAAAAAAAAATTCAGCCCCAGCTGTTTGGCTCAGTGGATAGAGCATCGGCTTGTGGACTGAAGGGTCCTGGGTTCGAATCTGGACAAGGACACGTACCTCAGTTGCAGGCTTAATCCCCAGCCCTGGACAGGACTCTTGCAGGAGGCAACCAATGTATGTGTCTCTTTCACATTGATGTTTCTCTCTCTGTTTCTCCCGCTCCCTTCTATTCTCTAAAAAAAAAATCAGTGGAAAAATATCCTTGGATGAGGACTAACAAAAAATAATACAGAAAATTCACTGAGAAATAGATATCTCATTTGAAATCCCACCCCCAAAATTATTTTAAATGCCTTTAAAAAGCTTTCACTAAATGACCAAAGTTAACATCACAATGGCTGACATCAAATGCCTCCTGATATGATATTGAGAAAGGAATATGTCACTGGCTCTATAGTATTCTTGCCAAATACACAGAAACTAATCATTAAAAATACAATCAGACAAATCCAAATTGAGGGTCATTCTACAAAGAAAAAATTGGCCTCTAATTATAAAAAAAATCATAAAAGACCAAATTTTTTAAAAGGGTAAGGAACTATTTAATATTAAAGAAGATGAAATATACATGACAACTAATAGTGTAGTGTTCCTGGACAGTATCCTGGGCCATAAAATAAAAATTTTCATCAAGAACAGTATTGGGACAATTGGCAACATTTAAAAATAGACCATATAGTGGATAATACCATCAGATCAATGTTAAACTTCCTGAATTTAATAAGTAAATGGATTTAATCCCCAAAGTTTCCATAAAATAATAACAACAACAATAACAATAATAGTAGTAACGGTAGAAAGATAATGCATGTGTGGCAAATGTTATCATTTGTAAAGAAGTTCTGGACAGTGGCAATGGCTGCACCTGTGAATATAACTGATGCCACTGAACTGTATATTTTAAAATGGTTAAAATGGTAGCTTCTATGTAATGTACATTTTACCACAAAAAAGTTATCAATTGGTGATTCTTACATTGTACCATCCTTGCAGCTTGTCTTCAAAATAAGTAAAAAAAATATTAAAGGTGTTCATCAGTTCTAACAAATGTTCTGCTTTGTGCAGGATGTTGATAATGGTTGAGGCTACGTAAGTCAATGGAAATTTTCTGAATCCACTAATTCAATTTTGCTGTGAATCTAAAACTGCTGTAAAAATAAAGCCTAACCCTGGCCAATGACTTATTTGGTTGAGAACTGTCCTGTACACCAAAAAGGTTGCAGGTCTGATTCCTGGTCAGAGCACATACCCAGGATACGGGCTCATTCCCCAGTCAGGTAGCGTATGGGAGTGACGGGTTGATATTTCTCTCTCACATCGATGTTTCTCTCTCTCTCTCTCTCTCTCTCTCTCTCTCATCAATAAACATATTCAGGTGAGGATAAAAGTGAGAAACAAAAACCATGTACTTGGGTGAAAATTAAAAAATAATAAAGCCTAATAAAAATAATACACCATTTCAAAATAAGCTAAAGGCTATTAAAAGGGGTTCCATTTTGCTTTTTCCTGTGTATCAGGTTTTGAAAAAAAAAAAAATTTAGCCTGTGATTCTTATTGAAATAATAGGAGAAGAAAAGAGAAATCAGTAATGTAAAAGCCTTGAGGCAGCAAAATGTCAAACACAAAATTTGAATACTCCTCACTCAACCTCCCAGCTCTGGACCTCATAATCCTAACAGCTGCACCCGGTCCGCATATGCATTCCGGGACGGGAAATGGTCAGCTGCAACCCAAGCCAGCTCCTCGGTGTGGCACACACCTGCTCTTTCTCCTATTGACACCCCGGTAGGAAATGAGCGATGTAGATTCATATTTGTGCAATCTTACCAGTTGGACCCGTTGTTGTCTTCCTGCCTGGACTGGGAATGGAGGTCACCTCTCCTGGTGACCTCTCCAAGAACAAAGACCAGGGAGCTCTGACTGCCTGGACCATTCTCTCAGTTCCCTCCTACCACCCACCCATCCACAACCCACGTCCAATCCATTAGCGAAGCCTGCCTGACCTCCAAAAGTGATCCTGAACCTGAGCACCTCTCACCACCACCACTGCCGTGACCCTGGCCTGAGCTGCCCTCTTCTCACTGCCTGGATCTCAAGCAGGCCGGGGAAAAAGACGTGCATGCGCCAGGGTACAGAGGCCCAAGGAAGTCCGGCTGTTTGGAAAGCACCCTGGCACAGTGCAGTGGCAAATGACGGGGCTATAGAGAAAGGAGGGAAGGCAGCAGCAGAGGCAGAGAAAGGAGCAAAGGCAGGAGATGGGCAGCTGCCTGGATCCCCGGAGGCCTGCCTGTGCCTGGTCACAGTCCTTTCTGCGGTCCAGATGTGTCCTCACCCGGCAGAACTCTGGAAGACTGAATTGTCAGACCCAGTTCTTCGGCCCCCTGTTGTTCTAGTTCACACCCATACCTCTTCAGGGCCCCTTGGTAGGGGTGTGTTTATCCCGGCCCCTTCTTTTGCGCTTGGCTGTGTGACTTGCTTTGTGCAATGGAGTGTTAGCAGCTGCAACACGAGCAGAGGTTTAAAATAAGTTTGGGTTGTCTTTGCACTCCTGTCTCTGCCATGAACATAGCATGCCTTGGTGGTTGCTGGTTGCAGAATGAGCCCCTGCCAATGCACATGCATGAGCAGCAAATAAATCTTACTATTGAAAACCATGTGGCTTCGGAGGCTTTCCTTGCAGGAAGTCTGTGGAAATGGCTGATAAACAGAGGAACCATGAAACATCTGTGTTCTCCATACCTCCTCTGCCTTCCTTGTGTAAACTAGCTTGAATTTGTGTAAACTTGCAACCAGAGAGCCATATTAATATCCTCATTATCCTGCTTTGCCGAGTTTCTGTGCTTTGTGATGCTCTGCAAAAGCAACCAAATGCCAGAAATTAGCTTCTTGACTTTGAAAGTGGCAGTGGTCGCTTCACCAGGCCCATTCGCTAAACTCGAGCGTTCTCTAACCTCTCAAGTCACACAGCAAACGAAAGAGAAACATAAGCTTCTGTCGTGATGTGTGTCTCACCATTTTCCTGTCTGAAGAGAATCCAACTGCTACCCAGCCATCGGTGTCTGCACTCAGCTCAAATTCCACGTCAGCCCCTATGATCCGGTAGCTAAGGAAGTAGTCACAGGTCTCTGCGTTACAGCCTGGTTTTCCATATCTGTAAGGGACATCAAAACAGAGGTGACCCGAGAGGGGAAAGGGGGTCCAAGAGATGGTGATGGAAAGAGGTTAGACTTTGAGTGGTGAGCAGACAATGGGATATGATGGTAATTATACAATGCGCCCCTGAAACTTATGTGATGTTATTATTAGTGTTACCCCCCAATACATTTAATAAAAAACAGACGTGACTCCTTTATATTCTTATTTAAAATACATTAAAAGGACATCAATGAATGAGGCAGGATGCTAAGTGACATTACTGAGTAAATTAGATCATTGCTTCAGAAAACAGTTTCACTCAGTTGTGAGGGACCTCAGATATGATCTGCTTCATTTTATCTGCATATTAAAAGGGGTCCAGAGATGGGAAGGCTGCATAGTGAGTCAGTGGCTGCAACAGGACTTGAACCTGGGCCTCCAAACTCCCAGCCAGTGTTCTCTACACTATATTGGTGTCTCTCAAATATTAGCTTTTACTGAATTATTTCTGGATCTCTTTTAAATGAGAAAATTCTCCGAGTTAATAATTTAAATTATTTTTGTTAATTAGATGTATACCAATTCTTTCTACTTTAAAATTTGCAATTAAATAAACACCAAGTTGCAAATTAAATATAAATTACACTACAAAACCAGGAACACTTAAACTGACAGCGTTCATGTGATGAATGATGCGGTTTCTCTTAAAGGAACATTCCGCTCCCACACATATGGTATGTCTGACTGTACTGTGCAGGGTCTTTTAACTGAGCACAGGACTCACTCTCCTCCACTTTTATCTGAATGACTGCAAAACCCTGGCATGTACAATGCACCCACTTGAATACCTCACTGGCATTACTGAGCATGAATGCATCTTCTATTTATAAAATTTGCCTTTGCTCCATAGGTTCTGATACAACCACAAATCCAGACACTAAAGCATACAGTACTACAAGGTGTCTCTCCACAGAATCAGATTATGCATACATCGATCTTTTAAAGAAGCACCATTGAAAAAAAGACACAAATTTATTTTATTTATTTTCAGTTTCCCTGAGGAATGTTTTTAATTTTAAAAAATTAAAAAAAATTTTTTTCAAGTACAATTGATACTCAATATTATGTTAGTTTTCAATGTATAGCATAGTGGTTAGACAGTTATGTAACTTCCAAAGTGATGTCTCTGATAAATCTAGTACCCACTTGCACCTTACAGAGTTATTACAATATTACTGACTGTATTTCCTATTCTGTACTTTACATCCTTGTGACTATTTGGTAATTGCCAATTTGTACTTCTTAATCCCTTCACCTTTTTCACCCACTCCCTTCCCATCTGGCAGCCATATGTCTGTCCTTTGAATATATATCATCTGTTTCTTTCTTGAAAACAGAAATGTAAATTTTCTTACAGAGGACTTGTGGGTCCTTTAAGAACTGACAAGTCCTAGTTTGAGGAATACTCTTTTACACCTTTTTTAGGGTGACAGAAAATTGTAGCAATGGTGTGATCATTGAAACTCAGATGGAAGGTATCTGAAGGAATAAGACACAAACCCACTAAGTGCTGACTGAGGAGGGAGGCAAGGATTAGGCAGGGACTCTGAGCAGCCAGGGTGAGGTATAAACTCCACACAATAAGGAACTTGGGTGGAAAAGGTTAAGAACAGCTAAATCAGGAGTGAATGGGCCAGAAAAGAGGTCACCCTGAAGCCAGCAGGGTACTAAAATTCCTTCGCTTCTCAAAAATATCCCTTAGTGACCAGAATTAATACATTAAAGGTCATTATCCTTAATATTAGTATTATTGGATTATTTTTATTCCTTAGAATGTTCTGGTAATCCAAAGAAAAGCTCAAAAGCCCTAATTCAATCCTCCCCCCCATCTCCTCCATAGATCTTGAGCAATGAACCAAAAAAATATAAATCAGAACTTTAGAACAGTGACCGAACAAATCTTTACTTAAGGACAATTTGTTTCAGAAAAAAAAAAAAAATACAAAGAGAAGGAAGTTTTACGACAAACCAGAGCTATCTTTGTGGGAGGCCCACTGTCACTACTACTGTTTTCTAGCTCTAGCCCATCATGCCATGATAGAATACTATTAATAATCACGGAATGCCTCACTACAATAACCAGTGCTCAATGACTATTAATAGTTAATATCATACATCATGACTATTTATTTCAAAAGGAATTGGGTATTAGACATGTTTATCCTTGTCTGTCTTGGCCATGTCCCACCTAATGAACGTGGGCATATCTGTGTCACATGATTCTTCTTCATACAGCCAATTGGTTAGGAATAGACAACGATGCCAATGGCAGCACAGTCAACATGAAGAATGTTCCCGTGATCCAGGCCTTTAAGACTGTGAACTGGGGTGGCTCTCAGAAACAGGCCACATCCCTGCCAAAGGTCCGAAGGAGTACAGGCCCCTGGTTAGGATGGGCTGCATGCAATTCCAATTCTATCCTGAGAAATAAAAGCAACATCTCAGTCTTAAAGTTATCCAATTCACAGGTCTACCAACCTAAAGCATCCCTTAGTTTTGCCACAGTCATCCACTTTGATTTTGGCAAATGGATCCACAGGAGGAGCAGTAGGGAAAGGGTAACCTGGAGAGCGAGAATAAATAATGGTTAGAAAGTCCAGTAACAACGTTTTCAATGATAATTTTAAAAAAATTACATTTTCTATCTTCTGTCACACCCATCTAGATGTAGACGTAAGGCCTCAGAAGAGAGCCCTGTGTAAACTTACTCTCTTCATGAGAGGAGAATGCAGGGTACACATCCTTGAACTGAGTCTTACATGTTACGGAGAATAAGTGATGTTTCCCTCATTTACAGGCAAGGAAACTGAAGCACTGAGAGGGGGCATAATTTCCTATGAACACTGGCTCACCACTGTGACCTGGGAGCTTAAAAAAAATCACAATTTTAATTCAATACACATGCTCTAAGAGGAAAAAAAAAAAAAAAAAAAAAGCCCTGGCTAGTGTGGCTCAGTTGGTTGGATATCATCCTATGCACCTAAAGGTCACTGGTTTGATTCCGGGTCAGGGCACATGCCCAGGTTGCAGGTTTAATCCCTACACAGGGTGTGGCAACCCACTGATGCTTCTCTCTCCCATCGATGATTCTCTCTGTCTCTCCTTCTCCCTTTCTCTCTCTCTAAAAGCTCTCTCTAAAAGCAATAAAAACATGTTTTAAAATTTAACAATGACTATATTCAGTAATAGAGGTTTTCCATTTATATATGTGATAACAGAATTTTTCCATCACTGCCAACTTCCATTTTTCACTAAGCTGCATATAACATTTTCATATTCACTAAATTCTTTACACACATCATTTCTAACAGCTGTGTATTTCTCTTGTAACATTGCTTGGCATCAGAATGCATTAAAACATACACCGAAGGGCAAGCCTACGTTATGCTTCCAGTTTGTAACAAAAATAATATTCTCCTAGGCTGTTTCCTTAGTGTACGAAGGAGTCAAGTGTGATTCATCTTGTATGATATTCTCTCCCCAGCATCAAGCCTAGCACTGGCCACTGAATAAATGATTGACAAATGAATAAATAAAACCACCCTTTAGCATTAGGAAAATAAACACACATTTTAAAAAAATACTGTCTTATTAGTTTTTCACCTTATTTTGATGTCTTATTTTATTTGTAATGTGTGTGTGTTTTTGAAGTGAGATTCTGTTTATTTTGTTCTATGAGTTATCCTTTAAGGAAAAAAAAAAAAAGCCACTGGACTGCATTTTCCTGGCACACAAGAGTATATTTTGGGCAGGGGTGGGGAACCTTTTTTCTGCCAAGGGCCATTTGGATATTTATAACACCATTTTCAGGCTGTACAAAATTATCAACTTAAAAAAAATTAGCCTGCTCTATTTGGCCAAAGATTTAATTAACTCACCCCTAGTACCTTGGCAAGGCCTGCCTTAGATGAGACTTTTGTTTTTCTTTTTATATTTATATATGCTGAATGCTGCAAACTACGCTGAGCCTCTTCATATAATGTTCTTCCTGATATTTCTCACTGCGGTGTTGTCCCAGGAGGCTGACAGGCCGATTCCACGAGGAAGGCTTGGCAACAGCATTGGGGAGTCCCCTGGACTCGCCCTCTGTGTGTCTACACCAGCTATTGCTGAACTGTTTCCTTTATAATAAAACTATACTCTCTGTAGGTCCGGTGCTTTCCTGAGTCCTGTGAGACATTCTAGTGGGTGCCCCTGAGTTGGTAGCCAGTTGGTCTGAGCTGTCTTTCTATGGGCCACCCCTTTCACTTGTGATAACTGTGGGTCATTAATACCAAAAATAAGCTTCAGTGTACTCATTGGGGCTGGCATCAGAATAGAAGCAGGTTTTTCAATATTACATAAAATAAGTTGATCTATTTGGCATAAAATAAGTTGGGACTATGTGCCAGTATCTAAGATCCTGCTAGGCTGCAAAAAGTCTTTTATGTCCCCAAGACCATTATCCTGAAACTCCAGCATGACTACTACCTGGTAAGATAATTACCAAAAGTGCCTGCAGCAGAACCTGGGCCTAAAGTTCAGGTTCCAGCCCTAGCCAGTTTGGCTCAGTGGCTGAGCATCAGCCTGCGTACTGAAGGGTCCCGGGTTTGATTCTGGTCAAGTGTATGCACCCTGTGTGTTCTGGATTTCATTTCATTGTTAAGTTTCATGCTGGGAGCTTTGACCAACCTCCCTGTCCTTAGCAAGTATCTCGAAGCCTTCTAGTTGATGATTATGAGTTCCATAATATGTAACTATAGTTTTTATTAGTAATGACTGGTATGGCATGACAACAGAGATAAATATCCAACTGGAAAAAATACTGATTACAAGCAATCATCTATCACAAGACCACCAGGAGGTACGACCGTGAGGGCTACTGCGTTCTTCATCCCTTTGTCTTGTCTATCCTTAGACCCTGAGTGATACTATTGCAAAAAACACTGCACCAGGTGTCCGGTAGCAGAGAATAATCTGTGCCCAGTGCTGGGTTGTCTGTTCCCTCTGGCTCAATCTTCCTAGAGGGAAATCACCCTACGATAAATTCTGATACAGTCTGTGGAGTTGCTTGGCTGTCTAAAAACACCTCATTTGGCCCTAATTGATTTGGCTCCGTGGATAGAGCGTCAGCCATTGGACTTTCTGAAAGGTCCCGAGTTTTATTCTGGTCAGGGTCATCGGCCTTGGTTGCGGGCACATCCCCAGTGGGAGGCGTGCAAGAGGCAGCTGATCAATGTTTCTCTCTCATTGATGTTTCTAAGTCTCTATCCCTCTCCCTTCCTTACTGTAAAAAAATCAATAAAATATATTTTTTTAAAAAAACACCAAAAAAAAAAAAAAAGAAAAAGAAAAAAAACACACACCTCATTTGGGTGGCTGTTACATCTTTGCCCCACCATCTGCCATGGGTTTCTACCTGGATATTCCACAAGCACATCAATCCCATAGCCTAGCATTAAGCTCCCCACCTCCCAAATGCTCTTCCTCCTACGCTTCCTGTGGCAGTGAAGAATGCCACCACCCACCACAGTCTTCCAAGCCTGGAACTGTAGTCCTGGGTCTCTCCACCTGCTATATGCACTCACCCACCATCCTTTTACTAGTATTGCCACCCTAGAAACCTGAGTCTGCCCTTTCACACCCTGCCATCTCTTATCCGCCCCCCCCCCCTTCCTTCACCACCTGCCAGCTTTCTAAAATGGGGAACTGATCTTGTCACATCACTGTTTAAAGACCTTTATTGGCCTCCCCCGCCCTGTCCCCACCATCCTTTCTTTCCTGCACTTACTCGTCTACCTTGGTCTAGAGATACATGGGTTAGAACCCCCAGACACGGCCAGCTCTTCTTTCTCCCCTTACATTGTCCACCCCCCATTTTTCACTACTGGTTTTGGGGTTTTGTTTGTTTGTTGTTGCTTGTTTCTTTCCCTCCATTTTGGGGGCTATTTCTTTTAAATGTTTTTATTGATTTTTGGAGAGAGAGGAAGGGAGAAGGATAGAGACAAAGAAAGATAGATGAGAAACATCATTAACTGGCTGCCTTCTGCATGCTCCTCCTCCCCGCACTGGGGATCAAATCAGAAACCCAAGCATGTCTCCTGACTGGAAGTTGAACCAGTGACCTCTTGGTTCATGGGTCAATGCTAAACCACTGAACCACACCAGCTGGGCTTGGTGCTATCGGTTTTCTTTTTTGCTAAAATAAAAACTTAGATTGAGACCAAATAATATTGGGTTAGGGCAGTGGAGGGCAAATTGTGGTTCTTGAGCCACATGAGGCTCTTTGGCCCCTTGGGTGTGGCTCTTCCACAAAAATACCACATGCAGGTGCACACGTACAGTGTGACTGAAACTTCGTGGGCCATGCACAGAAGTCGGTTTTCAGCCTGGGTGAGTCTATTTTGAAGAAGCGGCGTTAGAACACTCAAGGGGCCAAAGAGCCGCATGTGGCTGGAGAGCTGTGGTTTGCTGACCACTGGTTTAGGGAAAAACCCCCCCTCCTCTCCTCCCACTTTCCTCTTCTCACATGTGCCCTATAAAACTTCCAATAACTATTCTGTTGTGGAGACCAGTGAAGCCACTTTTTCTCCCTTCGGATATCCCTGTAACACAAGAGGTACTTATTTTCGTGGTTGCTTTTTATTTTTTCAGGTTCTCAATATGGTTTTGTGGTTTCCATCCCTGTCTTACTCACAGATACCATCTATTCCTTTCCTGTAATCCCTTGAGCCCGTTTTGCCATTCTCCACTGAGTGGTTAATGGCTTCTGGTTTGCTATTTAGTGCCTCTAATTAACTGCTTGGATCGCAGCCCTCAGGTATTAATGTAGTCCTTGAGTCCTTGCGTCCTTGATATTTTAACCAGAAATTATCTGCTCTGATCTCTGAGAGCCCCTGCAACAGCATCTGCCTCTTTCTGGACTGCGAGAGTCATCATTTCCACTCAGCAGAATCACATCCTGAAGTAAAGTTGTCCCGGGACTTTGGAAAATGGAAAGCCACACACACACACACACACACACACACACACACACACACACGGAGCCTGTTTAGCAAAGCGTTACCCAAGGCACTCTTCCACTCAGTAACCTGCGGTTCTCAACTGCCTACCTACCAATCCCCTCTTCTGAAGTCCACTCAGGAAAGTATCCCATCCCGCTTGTCCCTCTGCACTTCCTAGGGACCCTCCGTTCCAGGCAGGCTGGACAGCTTGCACACCTTTTCCTTAAAGTAAATCAACAATCCCATACAGCTCTCTGCTACATCCTGGCTCAGTGGTCAGCAAACTCATTAGTCAACAGAGCCGCGGTTTGCCAACCACTGTCCTGGCTGAATGACTTTAGCTAAAATATCTAAATCTTCTGTGGGTCAGTTTTCTTCACTGTAAAGTGGAGAAAACTGTAGTATCTAACTCAGAGTATTGCTGTGAAGATTAAAATTAATATGTAAAAGGTACTTAAAACAGAGCCTGGCACGTAGGAAGCACTTATTAACGATTAGCTCCAATTAGTGTTATTATTGGGCTAGATTCATGGGGGATACAGAGATAAATTAGTTATAGATTATCTTTAAAGATATAGATTGTTTTTATAAATTACTTATCTTTTTTTGTGCTTCATCTTTCTATCTTGGGTTCAGTAAAAGGTTCAGAGATTATAAGCTATCTCCTGCCCATAAAAAGTATAAAAACAGTGTTTCTACTTTTTCTTTTTCACTGAGCAAGGTGATACTATATTTGTTCAAAACAAGGAACAAATGAAGAGATGCTATAAATGAAAAATTGTGAATATGTGCGAGTGTGAGAGGGGTCTTTTTATCCTCAGATAGTAACTGTCTATGCATCTCAAAGGGGAAAAGCATGGAGGTAACATTTGCATCCCAAATGTTTATGTGTAGGGCAGTGAGTTATGTAGCTGCATACAATATGCAGTCGATGTAGGAAGAATATAAGCAGATGAAGGGAACTCTGCCCTTCCAGGCCCTGCTCTTCTCTCTACTGCCTCACCAGCTCTTTCCCAAGATAGGAAAAACTGTGATCTGAACTCGGTGGTCAGGAGCGAATTGACTGGGCCATGTCTTACAAGTGGTCAGGTCACTGTGCCTGAAAGATAGCAACCAAGTATGGTGTTATCCCCTTTTCCTTCCTATACAGGCCATGGCCCCAAAGGCAAGCCAGCCACCATCACCCGTGTGACTGTGGAAAGTCTCAGGGTCTGTTCCTTAGGCCTAGCTTGTGGGTCTTAGCAGCTGGGAGAAGAGAGCAGGAGGCTTGCTTTACTTGGGACTTAACCCTAAGCCTGTGGTCGGCAAACTACGGCTCGCGAGCCACATGCGGCTCTTTGGCCTTGAGTGTGGCTCTTCCACAAAATACCATGCCTGGGAGAGTCTATTTTAAAGAACTGGTGTTAGAAGAAGTTTAAGTTTAAAAAAATTTGGCTCTCAAAAGAAATTTCAGTCGTTGTACTGTTGATATTTGGCTCTGTTGACTAATGAGTTTGCCGACCACTGCCCTAAGCCAACACCCAGCTCAGTTCTTGTTTTTGTTGTTGTTTTTGAGAGAACAACCAGATAGGCTATTTAGCCATAATCATGTGGTAATTTGTTTTACATTCTACTTTGTTCTAAATACCACATAGATTCTGGGCTAAGAACCTTAAGATAAAGAGGGATGCTTGGTAAGATTCAAGTCCTAAGACCCTATTCAAACTTCTTCCTGCACGTGCAGAATATGTGAGAGGGACAAGCAAACTGGGGATCTGTATACATATCGCATGCCCTGCTGCTCCTGTGCAGTCACCTCACCTAAATGTCCTCCCTCTTCTGCCTCACCAAAGTCTTTCATACTTCCCAGCTAACTCTATAAAGCCTTCCTATGGCTGCAGCCCACCTGATGTCCATGTTCATGAAACTGTCTGGGTTATACAACTAACTATTCTCTCTGGAGATACAAACTGAGCATCTGATCTTGTTCTTCATTTGTTAGGTCTGTGTGCCCAATGAGAATATAAGCTTTCATGTGCCACATCTGAGTGTGATAGGCTGACTATGAACAGAATAAATATGTTTTAGATGTTTTCAGAAGCAGATGGACTTTGGGATACTTGTTCTTTTCAAGAGTAAAAGATTCTGCATCTGCTTGTTGTGTACTCCCTGCCTCCCTTCCCCCTATTCTCTCCTTCTCCCTGGCCACATGGCTAACCAGCTAGAAGACTACATTTCCCAACCTCCTTTGCAGCTAGGTCATATAATTATGTTCTTGACCAAAGGAATGTGAGCAGCAGTGATCTGTACAGCCAGCTTAAGAGGAAACTGCTTGCCCCGAACTTCCGTTCTTCTCCTTTCCTCAAGCTTGAACAAGGACATGCAAGCAACTCAACTTCCACACAGATGAGGACCAAGTCTTAGGAGATGATGAAGCAATCAGATGGAAGGAACCTGAGTCCATGAATGACCTTGTGGATCAGAGCTGTCCCACCAGCTCAGACCAGCCTGACTCATGTGAGACAAAAACAAACCATCTTACTTAAGCCACTGTATATTGAGGACTCTGTTTTAGCAGTTAAGCCTCTGCCCAACTAATATATTTTCCCAAGTCCATTCTCTCCATCTTCCTTAATACACTAATTCCAATTTTTAAATTGGACTTATTACTTCCCAGCTAAAAGGCTACACATCCCAGCTTCCTTTGCAACTAACTATGAGTGACCATATGACTAAGTTGTGGCTCAGTAGGATTGTTATATGGGACTTCTGCATAATCTTCTTATAGTCAATGATCTTCCCACTTCCTCTTTCCTACTGTCTGGAAAGTGAATATAATGGCCGGAGATCACGCAGCCATTTTGGCCCATGAAGTCACACGCTAAGAATTGTGAAGAAGCCCTAACCGGTTTGGCTCGTGGATAGTGCTTTGGCCTGCGGACCCTTGAGTCTCAGGTTTGATTTCAGTCAAGGGTATGTGCCAGTAGGGGATGTGCAGGAAGCAGCTGATCAATGTTTCTCTCTCATCGATGTTTATAACTCTCTATCCCTCTCCCTTCCTCTCTGTAAAAAATCAATAAAATATATGAGAGAGAGAGAGAGAGAGAGAGAGAGAGAGAGAGAGAGAGAGAAGATATCCAGGGTCTCTGATGACCGGTTCTGGGCTGCCTACTTCCAGATTTCTATATATGACAGAGAAACTTCTATCTTATTTATTTAAGCTATTAATCTTTATTTGGTGTAGGTAGCTAAACCTAATCCTCAGTAACAGACATATCCATTACATATTAGTTGCTGGGACACAGATTTCAAGTCCTAAATATATACATTTTATTTTATTTTATTTTACTTTATTTTATTTTACTTTATTTTTACTATTTCTCCTAGCAGAAGAAAATGAAAACGACTACTTTCCAAATGGCAGGAAAAAAGAGGCCCGCTTCCCTTCCTTCCAAGCAGAACCACTGGCTTTGTGCTGCTCACGGAAGCATCCCCACGGGGAGGTCTCTGGCTGGCAAGCCCCAGCCTCCGGGCCCAGCAGGCCCCACAATGGAGGCTCACACCGGGGGATGGGGTAGAAGCGGAGAAGAAGTGACCCGGCGCTGGCGGCGGGGCAGGGGGCAAGCACAGATCGAGGCGGAGAGGTCAGGGCGCTCGCCTCTGCGAATCTAGGTCAGTGCTCGCGGGGAGGAAATACGGCAGCATCGTTTTTAAGTCTGGATTTCTGATTTCCGCTGCCGGCTGCTCCCATCTCACCCAGCCCGGGCCAGATGGCAGCCTTCCCGACTAACGGTTCCCCCCTCCCCCCTCCCGCTTCCCTCCCATACACACCTGACCGAGAGGGTGGGGGCCAGGTGCTGAACACGGGGGGGGGGGGGGGGGGAAGGGGTAGAGGGAACTCCACCTGTCCGCAGCTTCGCAGGTCTTGGCTGGCACCCTCCCCCGGCCTCAGTCTCCCCACCTGCAAAGCGGACAGCTCTGCGGGCCCCGTTACCGGGCGGATGGGGGTCTGAGCGCTGCGCTCTCCGCCCGGCCTCGGCGGTGCAGGAGCTGCCTCCGCGCGCATCCTTTCCAGCTCCCCATCCCCGCAGCCGCCCCTCACCCGGGGCTCCCTGCCCGCCATCCCGCCTCCCCCCGCCCCCCTCCGCCCCCCTCTCACCTTCCTCCGACAGGTAGCGCAAGTCGTAGAACTCTCCAGCGAAGGTGCCGTAGGAGGAGTCGTGGCGCCGCACCGCTTCGTCGGCGCCCGCGTCGCCCCGCACGCGGCCTCGGGGTCCCCGGCCCCCCGGCCCCGCGCCGTCATCCCCGGGGCTGGCGGCGCAGGCGGCCGGCCCCGCCAGCAGCAGCCAGAGCAGCGGCGCCCAGGCCCCCCGGCTCCGCCCCGGCGGCCGCGCCATCGCTGCGCTCCGGTCCCTCGGCCGGGCCGCTCGGCCGCTGCGGGGGCTGCGGGCGCGGGGCCGGGACCTCACCGCCGCCGCCACCAGTCCCCCGCCCGCAGCCCGCGCAGCCGCGCAGCCGCCCGCTCCCGCCGCCTCCCCGCTCGGTCTGCGCATCCTCGCCGGGGCCCGAAGCCTCCCCCTCTTCCCCTTCAACCTGTCCTCCTCGCCCGCGCTCTCCTCCGCTTCCTCGTCCTTCCTCCCAGCTCCCCTTCCTCCTCCTCCTCGCCCTGCGTGGGGTTCCCATGGCCACGCGGGTGGCCCCTCCGGACTTGTTCTTCAGATCGTGGTCCTCAACTCGGCCGTCAGCATCCCTGGCAGCTTAGCATCCCGGTGTGTGAGCAGCACTGACCTCGCCCACTGCAGGCTCGGGAGTCCGGGTCTGCATTTCACCAAGGTCCCCCCCCCCCCCCCCCCCCCCAAGACCCCAAATGCACGCGCAGATGTAAGATGTGCACCCCTGGAAGGTTTACCTTGGACGCGCCTTGTCAGAACTACTGCCTCCCCCACCTTGTTCAGACACCTTTTTGGTTTATATAAGGCATTACGGTACCCCTTATGTCCTGGCATCATCACAGGAGGAAGTTGAAATAGCAAGATCCCCACTGGAGGTGAACTGAGGGGCTCAGAGCCAGGACACAGCTCTTTTGGCTAGAGGTACCTGCTTCCTCTCCAGACTTCTGGGATGTGGTAACAGCAGTGGCTGCTAGGGCCTCTGCATCACCCACCCTCCTTGAAAGCTAGGCAGTCGCAGCCTGTACTCTGGTTACCCCTCAGCAAGCTTTCTACCAGGCCCCATGGCCAAGCTGGATGCTCAGCTCTCTCAAATCCATTCCTGCTGCTGGCAATTCACTTCGGTTGTTTACTCAGCTGTCCCTTTATTCACACGGAGCACTTAACTGCATGCCAGGCCCCCCGGAGTTCTTCTCCAGGGGTGGTTTTGGAGTGATAAAATATTCAAACTAAGCTGTCTTCCGTTAGAAAACATGGGCATAGTTCCTTTTATGCTGGTATTGCAGAGTCAGCATTTTTGCCTGCTTTTCTTTTTCCCCTGTTATATTTTCTTGCATGAACAAATAAAATAATGATGGAGACAGAAAAGCATGGAGAGCTTCCAAATGCAGGCCCAGAAGTCAGCTTGTGTGGAGTGGTGACCTCCATGATGACCAGGAAGTTTAAATAAGATGGTATAGGTAAGAATTAATAGGGTTCAAGGCTCCTAGCGGCATGAATGAAAACATAAGGTTGTGAAATACAAACATTCAAAAAGACACTAGTGACTGCAGGGGAGACGGGAGATAGCGCTGGTGAAGAAATAGTGAAAAGTGCTGTGAGACTCGGGGATTAAGTGTTTGCTCGTGGGTATCAGCTGACATTGTCAGGGGGATGTTCAGTTAGAACCTAAACATGTTTATCCTGACAGGTGGGTCAGGTGTAATTCATGAAACACTTCACTTCGAGAGGTCTCCCAATATACCAGCTGTTGCAAGAAGTCAGATTTATTGCTTGAAAAAGGTAAGATGAACTACAAATATTTAACAATCAAAATAAAGAGACTTTGCCTGTCCCCCCCCCCAAAAAAAAACAGCTTTGTAATGTATAAAATTCTAAAATACAGAAGAAGAAGAAGAAGAAGAAGAAGAAGAAGAAGAAGAAAAAGAAGAAGAAGAAGAAGAAGAAGAAGAAGAAGAAGACGACGACGAAAACCCTACTTCTTAAAAATTGAAATTCCTTTCTTTTCTTCACCTATTCACCAGGGAAGGTATAGTCAGTTTTAAATGGATCAACGTTTAGGAAAAAACCACAGCCAACCAAAAACAAACACATTTCTGATTTCAGTGTTGATTCTCTGGTTTGGGAACCCGAGCTTGTTATCTATTGCTGTTTTATTCCCCTTTTTTCTCTTTTGTGCACATTTTCTGGGAGGAAACTTTCCCTGAATATTCTGAGGCCACTGGCTGAGCTACTCACACAAGGACCTAGAGACGGACCTGAGCTTCATTTCACTTTTAAAAGAAACCACCTTTATTTTCTCTTCTCATCAAAGCCACTTCACTACAACAACTTTTTCTCCCGTTATAAAAACTCTCCCAAATCAGTGCTGCATCTCAGGATCTGACCACTAATGGATGTGCCCGTGCTCTGTCTAGTAATAAATGTGATATTTCCATTTTTGATGGCTTAAGGAGTAAAAACTGTGATCCTGGAAACTTCTCCGAAGTTAAACAAAAGTTCCCAGGTGACCAAACTATTCCAATCTCAGCTAGACACCCAAGAGAATGGAAAACATATATTCACCCAAAAAAATGTGTACACAAATGTTTGTATTATTCATAATTGTCAAAAAGTGGTGGCATCCTAAATGTCTGTCAACCAATAAATGGATAAACAGAAGTGTGATATTCATACAATGGCCTATTACTCAGCCACGAAAAGGAATGAAGTACTAATAAACATTGAAAACATTGTGATAAGTGAAAGAAACCAGACACAAGGGACTAGATATTGTGTAATTCCATGTATACAAAGCATACAGAATAGGCAAATTCCCAGGCAGAAATTAGGAACAGAGAGTAAATCAGTGGTTGCTAGGGGATGGGAGACAAGTTGTGACTTTAGATATGGAGTTTCTTTTTTGGAATGATGGGAAATGTTTTGGATTTAGTGGTAATGTTGGCACCACATTGCAAATCTACTAAAAACCACTGAATTTGTACACTTTAAAAAATAGTAATGGGCCGAAACCGGTTTGGTTCAGTGGATAGAGTGTCGGCCTACGAACTGAAAGGTCCCAGGTTCGATTCCAGTCTAGGACATGTACCTTGGTTGCAGGCATATCCCCAGGGGTGTACAGGAGCCAGCTGATTGATGTTTCTCTCTCATCCATGTTTCTAACTCTCTATCCCTCTCTCTTCCTCTCTGTAAAAAATCAATAAAATATATATATTTAAAAAATGGTAATGGGATTTCGAATCTTTAAAAAAAAAAAGTGATCTTTGAGATGGTGAAAGGTAAAGATATTAGAATATTCCTGTGCTGTTTGAGTAATATGAAATTTGGGGTGCATTCAGGTAGGATCTTTGGAATGCTCCAAGACCTAGTTTTAAAATTCTTCAAACATAAGAAAGATGCTCCTACACAGTCTACAGTCCACATACCCTGTGGGTTGCCGGCTTCCCAGGCCCTTTGACCTCACCCCCATGCCCATCAGAGTCAGTGGCCCACAGTTTGGGGCCCTGGAGTGATGATGTCAGCAAGCTGACTTCTCCACCCTGGACATAACGCGTGTGTTGCTGATTGCCCACCCTGGACAATACACGTGTTGTGTGACCATATGATGCCATTGTTTTTGGTTTTAAGTATGTAAAACAGATTAAGGGACTGTACCAACTCACGTTTCCCCCTGTGAACCCACCCAAGCCAATGTCTTCTGCTCAGCTCCCAATGCCAAACACCAGACACACATTTATTTACATAGGCAAATAACCAGGACAAACTGCTGAAACGATGGAATCTTCTTGATTTTACTGATTAGAGTTGAGCTGCCAAAGGACTGGGTTTTCATACACAGTAGTGGCCAATTAGTTTGTGGTCAGACTTCGGAAACATCTTGAACATCCACCTCTGGCACATCTGTGAACCCAGGGGGACGCGGGGAGGACGAAGCAGGAGGCTCAGAGGCTCCTGGAAACAGCGGCTGGAAAGCCCATGCATCCCTCCTCAGCAGCAGAGCCAACCTGACACCACATGACACAGGCGTTCCTGACCTCCAAAGAGAACTTCTCGTTTTTTGTCCCAGAAGTTCCCATCAGAGAGCAGGAGGTGAAGAGCAGGAGACTCTGAAAGCTAACAGGTGAGGGGCGGAGGAGGGTACCAGATTGGCAAGAGCAGACCAGCCCAGACACAGAGAGCTCCCCGTGTGGTACAGAAACACATTTGGCATCATCGTGTGCACGAGATAAAGAATGGCAAAAGCTGTTTTAAAGGTACAGCCAGGGGTCACGGAGGACAGGGATTAAAAGGTCCCCAACACCCCAATTGCCCCAGATGGCTTCACCAGCAGAGCAGACAGCGGTAGAAGCCATCAGTGAGATGAGCACAACAGCCTGTGAAAGGCAGAGCCAAGCCCCACACGTTCTGGTAGCTTCTAATGACATCACTGCACCACAAAGCCAAGTACAAAAGGGGGCTGATGTTTACAACGATGGCCGTGACTCATCGAGAAAAGGTGAAATACTCTCCAGCGTACTCTGTTTACTAAGGCAGGGACGTGTGTAATACATCTTTAGAAAGATTTCCCTCAAAAAATATGAATATTTTAAAGATTCAGCACTTCAGGGGTTAATCCTCTGTTATCTGAATAGTTGCTTGCATGCCTCCTTTTACAACAATGCTAGTAAACGAGGCATTGCTCTTTTTTTTTTTTTAAATAATCATTAGTATCAAATTATTGGCACCATTCAGTGTTAAGTACAGGGACAGGAGAGCAAACTGTACAGCACAACGTAAAAAATACAGTTCTGATACAAACAGAGGAGATCAGTTCCACTTAACAAGCGGTCTTAAGAAAGGGGTGGACACTTTTTACACACAAGGAAATACAGCTAGTAAATCATCACCTGGAAAAAGTGCTCGGCCTTGCTAGCAATTAATGAAATAAAACAACCTTTCAAGAACAATTGTACACACCTATTAAACTAGCGAAAATAAATTAAAGTGGCCAAAATCCAATACTGGCAGAGCTATCGGTAAATAGAAATGCTTATACATTGCTGGTGGCATCATAAATTGTAGGAGTTCAAGCATTCACAGGGGATCGAGGGGGGTTGACCTTTATGGTCCTTCCAACCCAAAGATTGGATCTTTCTAGAAAGCAACCTGGCAATAAAGCAAGAATTATACAATACTTCATGCTCTTTGACCTTATAATCCCTCTTTGGAGAGATTCCCAGGGGGAGAATCCAAAGGAAGGATAATTTTTTTACAAAGACATTCATAGCAGCACTATTTATAAGAGTGAAAAACTTGGGATATAACTCAAATAGCTAATAATGGGGAGAAGTGAGGTTAACCATGTTATATGGATATAAAGACATTTAAGTGGGTGAGAGCAGGAT